CTTTTGCGGCTCCCTCGGTGGAACGCTGGCGGTTTCGAGCGGGAGAATCGGATCCTTCCAGAGAAGCTGTCGGGCGAGGGGCATGTTGCGTCGCGTGTTCTCTTTGAGACGCTTTTTGCTGTGAACGAGTGCGGGTGTTTTTTTTATTATTTTCGGCATTTTTTGTTTGGCGCCAAAGTCCCGCAGCTGCGGCGGCGCCTCCGCACTCCCCAAGGCGGGGGTCGGCGCCCTCCCGGGCCCTCGGAAGGCAGAGTGCCCACAGTTCTGGACGCCGAAACGGACCGCCTTGGAGCGGTGCGGGGCCTTGCTGCTTCGCCGCCTCGCACAGCAGCGACCAACGCGTCTTCGCAACGTCGCATTTGCTCGCTCGAAGGGGCGGTGCTCCCGATCGGTGCCGGCGGAGGCGGCAAGCTGCAGCCGCGCCAGGGCAGTCTACGCCCCGCGCGCCGCCGGTTCGCCGGTTGCGGCGGCCGATGGCCAACCGACCGCCACAAAGGAGCGCGCCGACGCCTTGGCGCGAGTGTGCGCCGCCACGTCTGATTTCCCTTTGGGGAGCTTGACGCTGCATCGCGGGAGATGCGTCTCCGGAGTGCGCCGGGGCCTGGCGCGCTTCACTGCGAGGCCCTGCACCAACCGCCCCTCGCCGCCTGCAAGGAACTCGCGGCCGCGTTCAACAGGAGCATCGGCGACGGTGGCGCTCCGGATTCCCGGGAAGTGGGCATTGCAATTATCCCGCCCCTCAAGCCTGGGAAGCCGGGCAAATGCTTCCCGCCTCGCTTCGGCCCGTCGCCCTCGCCAGCTGCTCGCGTAAGCTCGTGGAAAAAATTGCGGCGCGACGCATTCGCGGCACAGTTGAAGCCCAACTTCCTCCCCAGCAAGCTGGTTTTCGCCCTGGTCGCTCCACACTGGATCCGTTAGCTCGCCTGCTTGCTGGGATCATTTCACCGTGGCAAGCGGGAGAAGGTCGGTGCGGTGTTGGTGGGTCACGCTGGGGCCTTCGGCTTGGTTGATCGCGGCCGCATCCTTCACGCACTCCGCGCGCACAAGGCGACTCCGCGCCTGAGCCGGTGAGAGGCGGACTTCCTTTCCCTGCCGCGCGGCCAAAAGTCCCGTGTACAAAATACGCTCTCCGCACCGGTTCGTTTCACCCGTGGCTTCCGCGGGGTTCCGTGCTCGGCCTGCTGCTGCCCACCGTTGCCGTGAACAGCTTCAGCGAGGAGCTGGTGAGCACCCCCAACCTTGAACTTGCTTCCTTCACTGATGACCTGACCGCATCACTCGCACCACCGAGAGAGGG